ATCCTATGACCCGTCAGTTTACACTTTTCACAAACGAAAAGAAGCGGAGAAAACTCCACTATGGGACGCTTTTGTATTCTCTCGACTTCACAAAGACAGGGATTGAGAGCGAGACACAGGCTTAAAACACGTGAAGGAAGCATGCTGTCTTCTGTTTGTATGCTATTTTTTGTGTTATAGTTCTCGTAGAATTTATAGTCTATTGTTAATATATTATCAATAAAGGAAGATAGTTACGAGTAGGGACTACAAGATGTTTGTACAAAACCCATATGGTGACATTTTGTTATGCTGAATCAGTTTGTGTTTTGCTTTTTTTCCCCTTTATAATCCTTCTTAACTTGTGGAAATAGAACTTAAATGCCCTAGGTACATTTCATTAATATTCTTCTTTCGAAGGAGCTTTGTTGTGTGCTCACATTTTCAGAGTGAGTAGGTTGTCGGTTGTTGTTAGCATTGTGTCATTACAGTTCTCTTTAGACTTTAAGATTAGAAGAAACATGAGAATAAATTAAGCAGTTCTTTTTCTTGGCAATTGTTGACATATTAGTATTATTAGGGACTTATTTGTAAGATTTGTAGGGGCCTATATAAAGCCCAAGAGATATCATAATGAATGAGGGTTTCTATTTCAACTTGGTATCAGAGCATTCTCCAAACCCTAGCCGCCAACAACGCCGACCATACAGTGTTCTTTCGACGGAGTGGAGGCCACATTACTATGCTTGCGGTATATGTGGATGATATGATTATTACAGGGGATGATGAGAAGGAGATTGCCCAACTCAAAGTGAGACTGGGTAAGGAATTTGAGGTGAAAGATCTTGGCTTGCTTAGATACTTTCTTGGAATAGAGATAGCTCGAGGAGCGGAAGGGATCATCCTATCCCAGAGAAAGTATGCACTGGATCTTCTCAAAGAGACAGGAATGTTAGGGTGCAAACCTGCAACTACACCGATCGACCAGAGGTTCAAGCTAGGTGCTGAGGCTGGAGAACCAGTTGATCGTGACAGATATCAGAGGTTGGTGGGAAGGCTGATCTATTTGAGTCACACACGTCCTGATATCTCCTTTGCAGTAAGCGTGGTGAGTCGCTACATGCACGATCCGAGGAAGGGTCATATGGACGCTGTGTACCAGATTCTGAGATATTTAAAGAGTGCCCCCGGAAAGGGGCTGATATTCAGAAAGAATGGACATGTGAACATCGAGGGTTATTGCGACTCTGACTGGGCTAGCTGTGCTGATGACAGGAGGTCCACCTCAGGATATTGCATCTTTATAGGAGGTAACTTAGTCTCGTGGAAGAGCAAGAAGCAGTCAGTGGTGGCGAGATCGACAGCCGAGGCAGAGTATAGAGCTATGGCCTTAGGAGTTGCTGAGTTGCTATGGTTGAAGAGTATGCTGGTGGAGCTGAAGCTGGATCAAGGAGATAAGATGAAGTTATGGTGTGACAACAAGTCAGCTATAAGTATTGCCAACAACCCAGTGCAGCATGATAGAACCAAACACATCGAGATCGATAGGTTCTTCATCAAAGAGAAGTTGGATAGTGGACTACTGGAGCTAAGTCATGTTTCGACTAAGGACCAGGCAGCAGATTGTCTGACTAAAGGACTCAACTCAGTAGATATGATTAGAGGATGTGACAAGATGGGCTTAATAGATATCTTTCGCCCATCTTGAGGAGGAGTGTTGACATATTAGTATTATTAGGGACTTATTTGTAAGATTTGTAGGGGCCTATATAAAGCCCAAGAGATATCATAATGAATGAGGGTTTCTATTTCAACTGCAATGGTTGAAAAAACATTGTCTGTTGCGCGTTATCTAATTAGGGCTACAAATTTAGATGAAGTGATGAATCCTTTGAATCTTAAAACAACTTTTAACTTTTTATTTTTCTTTTCCTTCCCCTTTTTCCTTTGCACTATTGATGAGGAATTGTTCATGTAGCAAATAAAATAAATACGCAGACGAACTCCAATGCGATGAAACTTGACTCTTTCCAATACTTCATTGGTTTTAGTTTATTCATTTAGATAACCGAGATGCATATTCTTGTATCATCTATCAAAACATTTATCTTATTCTAAACCAGATGGAGAAGAACTTGTAGCCCAAGATTCTCCTCAAAATATTATCTGATCTCCATCTGATATGATGCTCGCAATGCGATCAGTGTTTGAAAATGTTGGGCCTTAATGTGAATGCACAAAAGGAAAGTTCATTATTTGGTTTATCGTCATATACTTGTTAGTTAGGTTAGTAGTTCATGTCTCATGTGTTTTTTCTATTTGTATTTGCCTAAATTGCACGGATAAGCCATGTTGTATTGTTCACATATTTTTTTCCCTTTTTCCTCGCAACTTGAACTGTTTGTAATTATTGTTGGAACAGATTAGATTATGCTGTGAGATGCTAAAAAATATTGGAATCACAACTCTTTCTTTTCTTGTATGTTTCTAATTCTGCTTCCCTGGGCATCCCTGACCCCTGATGAAGCCCCTCATTTTGGACTTCGAGTAACTAATGTTGTCATTAAAATTTCCATTATCTTTCTAGATGGTTGAAGATGCTTAAGCTTAGACTTTGATTAGACAGTTGGTAATTATAACGTCGTGACTTAGATACCGCAATAATTTTGCTTTTTTCATTGTTGGAGTACTGTTTCTTTAAGCGGTATGTAGTTCACTGTCTGGAGTGGAAGGGGCCTGACAGTCTGCAGGTGGGATATATAGCCTGCAAGCATATGCCCAAAGTAATCAGTGAATCGAGCATCGAAGCTTGTGCTCTGAAATGCTTTTTATTAGTTTGTCACGCTTTTGGATTTGTGAATTGAGTATTACCGTTTGGAATAGGGGTTTTAAATTTTGACGTGTCAAGATTTTTGCTGTTTATCGTGTCGTGAAAACCAGCTGCTATATATATCAATGTAAAAGCCCAGTACCGTGCATGATCAGACGCTGTGCTTACATATCCGGACTACAATTTCAGTTTGAGATCCCTACACTGTCATGTTCTGTGTTGATATAAGTAATGGCTTGACGATACCGTGGCGGGTCTTGTATCGGTGAAACTTGGTGCAAAAATCTTGCTCATAATTTTGGTGGCTACTCGGGCACGCTGCTAGCTGATAATCCCCCAAGACGAAGTTGTAGAGCCTACTTGTCTGTGGATGAGGCGTGAAATTCCACACATTTACAAATCTATTGTACTGTTTATCACGCAGGAGTTCGGACTACTATGTAAGAGGCCGAAAATGTGGAGTAGATCGGAAGCCTGGTTGTTTATGCCTAGGAATGCATGTCGGTATTGTGCGCAATGGCACGTCCTACTGTCATTGCCCTTCTAGTATTATTACTGTTTATCTCCGGCTACATGTTTATGCTGTCTTGGGCTATGCAGTGTTATCAACTTTAATCTCAGGCTACCCCCCAACCCCGTCCCCAACCAAACCACGTCTTCATCGTGTTTATATTTGACCGAAGTCTAAAAGTAAAGGCCATCCTGAAAATCTTGTGTACGTACACTGAATGTTTTTTTTTCCTCTTTCCAATAACCCTATTTGGAATCAAACCACAGATTGTGAGAGCCATATTGTTAGAACAAGTCACCTGTGGTGCGGTGCGTTTGTGTACAATGAAGTTGGATGGGAAAAAAAAGGATGAGACAAGTCTGAAGGAGGGTGAGGGGAGGAAAAAATATTAAAATAAAGACAACCTATTCGTAAAGTGGAAAATGTTGGATATTTTGTTCATGAAAAGGCAATTTTACCTTTGTGAATAGTCCCACATTGGAAAATGGAAGGAAGTCCAAGAGGTTTATATTGGTTCACATTTTATTGGGATTTGAATAGTGTTTTGTGTTAGCCTTCTTGTTTTGATGATGATTTACAAACAATTTACTTCTAATGTTGTTTGTCTAGTGTTTGTGCTTTTGTATCAATTGTAGACAAACAATATATTGGAGGATGGATGGAATTGCGCTTCAACGAATATATCCAATGGAGGTTGGTGGAATAGTTGTTGAAGCCTATACAATTCAAGTTAAAGATTCAATTACAAGTTTCATCCAAGTTTACCAAGTTGAACTACAATGAAGATCAAGATCAAGATCAAGCTTGGGTAACATTAGTTTAGGTTTATATTATGTGTGTTAGTACTTTAAGCTCAATCATATATTGATTTCCTTGTATATATATAGTTATATATATACAAAACAAGTTTTGTTTTTATATATATATACTCATATATATATATATATATATATATATATATAGTATATATTATATATATATACTACTTCTAAAGAGAAAACAAGTGTCAAACTTTTGTATGCCTATTTTGCCCTTTAAACTTGCTTAATTATAATTTATCGTAATTTCTATCTAATTATTCTAACTTTATGATTATTATTATCAGTGTTTAGATTATTAATTCACATTAAAACGTTGCCAGTATCATGCCCTTTCCCCTGCCACTCTAACCCACGCGCCCCACCCCTTCCTCTTCATCTCCGTTTCTCAACCACTGAGAACGGCATGAATCCCCTGCCTCTTCATCACGCCGCCCGCCGCTCCCGCATTTAATCTTCTCTCCTCCTGCCGCTCACCCACCCGCCCCCTCTATCTCTTCCGCTTTGCGTTTCCACCGTTGGCGGGAATCACGACGCGCATGGTTAGATCGCCGAGCATACTGGAAAGATCACTTTTCCTTCACCACTAAAGCAGTTGCTCGATTTGATGTTTTCTAGGGTTTTTTTTTGTTGATTAGGTTTACTTATTTTGTTTACCCTTTTTGGTATTCGATACATTTTAGATTAGTTTTCCCCAAATTATTAACTGGAAGAGAGAGATTTTTTGGGTGTGTTAATGAGAAAGATGATGATATACATGATCCCTTGTATTGTTGGAATTTTTTGATATTTCCCCTGTGAATGTATGAATTCTGGATATTTGGAATCCCACCCCTCATTTGATTAACAAAAAGGAAAAAAAATGTTTTTATCCCGTTTCTTGTGTGATTTTTTAAGATAGTATGGGGAGTTTTAGATTTGTGTTTGCCTTCTGAAAGTTATTTTCGTGTATTTTCATTCTTTCCTGATCTAGATTTAGAAGTATTCTGATTCTGAAAATTTTAGGAATAAATAAAGCGTTATGATTCTTAATATTTTAATCAGTTCCCGACGATCGGGGAGGCGAAGAGGATGGTTCTGGTGAGGCACGGGCAGAGCACGTGGAACGAGGAGGGGAGGATCCAAGGGAGCTCTGATTTCTCCGTTCTCACCCCGAAGGACGTCTCAGGCCGAAACCTCTTGCCATGTGCTCATCGCCGACTCTTTTGATGTCCGCTTCACCAGGTTCTCTTTCTTCTTCCCTCTACCATTTTTGTTGTCTTTCATTTATTTCCAATTTTCCATCCTTTTTTTTTTGCTTATCACCATAATAGATTAATCCTGTGAAAATACAAAGTATCAAACAAGCACCCTAAGCTTGAACATTGTGTGGTTTTATTACATGGAAAAGATAAATGACATATGCTTTCACATCGGTAGACAACCTTGTGTAAGTTGTCTAAATTTGTCATATCTTATATAGCTTTCTTAATATTTTTGAGTGACTATAGCAGTATTGATATTATTATTATCATTACTGATAGAAGATTATTTTCCCTAACATGTTGCAGTCCCTTGATCCGACCAAAGAGAACTGCTGAGATTATATGGGCTGCTCGACAGGAGGAAATGATATCAGAATCTGACCTTCGGGAGATTTATCTCTACGCTTTTTAAGTTAGCAGTGGTAATGCTTCTTATAATCCCTAATTATTTTGTTTACCCAAATTTAGATTAGTTTTCTCCAATTATTAACATTGGAAGCTTTATTAATAAATAGCTGATTCTTTAAATCTACAATTCCAGGGTCTTTTGAAGCACGAGGGGATCTACAATTCCATGGTCTTTTGAAGCACTAGGGGAAGGAGAAGTTTGGTAATGCTTATCGCCAGTGGCAGAAGGATGCACCCAATTTTAACATTGATGGCCATTATCCGGTAAAAGAACTTTGGGACCGAGCCAAAAGCTGCCGGAGTAAAATTTTAGCTCATAAAGGCAAGTCTGTCATTGTTGTTGCTCACAACGCAACTAATCAAGCCCTTGTTGAAACAACATTAGGTACTAACTGTTTTCCATGTTTGTTTGAACTTTTGACATGATAGCTGGAGTTACATGTTATAACATTTATACGTCTATTAAGGATTAGGCATGGACTACTTCAGGGTAATGCTTCAGAGCAACTGTGGAGTGAGTGTGCTGGATTTCACTCGAAAACCTCGAGATGACTCTCCCCATGTATGCATCAATAGGTTAAATCAGGTAAATATTTGGTTTATCCACATGTCATAATAGTTTGAAATTGGATGAGATAGAAAAATGAGGTTCCCTTCCAATGTATTCAATATCCATGGCTTGAGCTTGTCTATCATCAGAATGCTTTCTGCAAATATCAAGTGCTGCTGGAACTTTCTTGATTTAATTTTTCTCCATAGTTATCTCAGATATCAGTAATGATAGTAGTAGGTCATAATCCTCACATGCCTATTCCTTGATGCTGCGCCTACTCTTTTGTACTACTTTCATGCCATCTACTGTTTACCGTCTAATATTTCTTTAAATAACATCAGTTTTATGATGGAGATCTCTATTTTCTGTCAGTAAAATGGAACTTTTCTATCATATGATGCTTTTCTTTGATGTGGCTGCAGACCCCAAATTCACCTATCGCTGGGGGGACTTCAGCTGGAAGAAAAACTTCCAAGAAATAACTTCCAAGAAAAACTACCAATGTATTCAATATTATTTTCTGCCTATAGAAAGCATCTAAATTTGGGTTCTTTTGATTGACGTGTCGATTGCAGCCAGGGCCAAAGGAGCTTCCAATGCAGTGCTTTATTAAGAGAAATAAGAAGAACTCTACATTCTATCTTTATCTCACCTTGAACCAAAGTAAGATGATGTTCTTAGAAAACTTAAACATTTTCTAGATTTAGTTGCAGATAACCCCCTCATCTATACCTTTACTAGCACTTAACGTGTCTTAACTCATTTATTATTCACTTAGCACCCCTCAATTCTCGAGGAAGGAAACGAGTGTTATCTACAATTGTCCTTCTAAAACTCGTCCAGGACTCCAATGGCTTGCTTATACATGAGTTGAAGGATGCTAAGTGCTAATAAGGGAGGTTATTTGCAATTTGACCTATTTACTATGATTCATTTTCTTGTGCCAAAGTTCCCGTCTTTGGTTATTTGTTTGTTTTAATAATTTATCGCGGCTGTTGGGTGGAGCGAGTTTGCTTTTGAATAGTTCTAGGAGGAGCAGGTCCTGGTTTCTCACCCACACTTTTGGGAAAACAAAACTTGGACTTTTGTCTCTTGACTATTATAATCGAGTAAGTTGAGCGATAGAATGAGTCAAAATTTGATAGTTTCTATGATTTGAATGAAGTATTTGAGTATATCTCTTGACTTTTATAATCGAGTTAGTTGAGCAATAGGAGGAGTTAAAAATTGATAGTGTCTGAGATCTGCATGAAGTTTTGAGTTTGTAGGAGTGCACACCAAAAATACTATTAGCACTGTCATTGTCATGGTATAAATTCACATAATTACCTCAATTGATGCACTCAAGGATGGAAATGTCTTCTCTTGAAAAGTAATTTTTGGCAGTAATTTGAATATGTTGTGGAGTTTTCTCCTTTATGACATTGTAGGTCTTCTATCAGTTAGGATGAAATTTCAAATCAGTTATGCTTAACTGTTCAACTAGAGATTTAATAGTTAATACGTAAGATCTCATAACTCATTGAGCATCCTGTTATCATAAATGCATAAACATCAGCTATGTAATTGAATAACTTGTGTTTACCTCTTATAAACCTACCCAAACGCCTTAAGGATTATTTGTGAAAGTTTTTGGCCTCATTCACAAAGCAAGTAGAAACTATTTTGTCATTTTATTGTTTAGATATTTTGTTATTTTAATTCTTTGCATGTTGTTTGCACCCTAAGTGCTCAGAGGCTAATGCAAATCATAGAAGTTTACATGTTTTTTTATGACAGTAGAAACTTCCAGCGTTTTTCCAATTGGCTTTTTCTCAATAGGATAGTTCATAAGCTTGTATCCATGTGCAGGAGCTTAAATTGCATGACCTATACGACAGACTTGCTATATTTTACTATTGGCCAACTAGCCTTATTTGAGACCACTCTGTTAATCATAGTTTTCTATGGGCGATAGTTTCCCTGTCCTGGACATGATTTTGTTATGAATTCATATGTGATTCTTTCATTGGATAAAGTCTCATATACCCCTTACATTCATTCTAACTGCTACACCTCTGATGTGCAAGTGGAAAGCCTTCCCCTTTGACCCATTTTCCATGCAACTTCTGAGTCTGCCTTTTTTTTGGGGGAAGAACTTTTGCTGTATGGAATTGTGCTGCTTGGCTAAAAACAAATCTGTAGGAGTTGGTTTGCAAGTTTGCTTTGTACAATGATGTTTTCTGATTCCCTCATTCTCTGGCTACTGTTATGTTTCTAATCTTATTGCAGATCTGATTTCGTGGGCAATAAGTTCACAATATACGACAGCCGCCCACCTTTCACTATCGCAAAAGCATCAAGTAGTCGGAGGAGCCGACGCTTCACCAGCAAGCAAATCAGCCCACAATCTTCGGCTGGTAATTTCAAGATTGGTTATGCATACAAATTCAACCTTCTCAAATCTTGAAGACCAAGAAGAATGTTTTGCAGATTACAATGCCCTCCAACCGAAGAATCCACCAAAGGAGAAGAATCATCTCAACCTCTTGTCTGTGGTATTGAGGAACAAAGCTCCTCGATGGCATGAGCATCTTCAATGCTGGTGCTTGAATTTTCACGGGAGGGTAACCGTTGCTTCTGTGAAGAATTTTTAGCTTGTTGCAGCTTCGAATCCATGTCAAGTGAATGGGGTTAGAGAAGATGAGACAATGCTGCTCCAATTTGGGAAAGTTGAAGATGATATGTTCACAATGGACTATAGGCAACCACTCGGCTTTTCAGGCTTTTGCCATTTGCCTCACTAGCTTTGGTACAAAGTGTTCATGTGAATAGAAATGCTTAGCTCATAATTTAATGTTGCGGTTATGTTGGTGGACATAAATTGGGCAAGCGTGTTGTATATTTTCGATGTATGAACGTTGTTGCTTTTGGACCAACTAGGGATATGTTGAAGCAGCTACTGGCATCACTATTTCTGTTGGACATTTCTTATGTATTATAAAGAAAGCATGGCCTTGGTCCTTGAGTCTTGGAGTATGTATGACTTTCAAGTGGTTTGCTTTATGTACAGAGATTGACACGAGCAATTATAGGATGAACTTAAATGAACTGGAATGGCTTCAATGTATGGCATCATTCCTCCACCGAACATACAAACATAAAAAGTAATATTTCTTTGCGTCAAGAAGAGGTAAGTTGACTCTTTCTAAGAGATTTAGCTTTTCGTTGTATGTATGCTAATTTAATACTTTCCAGATTGGTAATGTAATGCTGAATATTAGTTATTTGCAGTTAAGATCAACTTACCTCTTCTTGATTGTACGTTCACTTTTATCACGCGAACCATATATATGGTTGATTAGGTTTCTTCTCTATGGACATTATCCTACGTCCTGTGAGATAATGGTTAATTGGCATTCATATTGTTTATTGTGTATAAGTTCAATGCATAATTATGGAAACATTATGGATTTTGACTATTGTAGTTTCTTAATATGCATCACGTGCAATGCACGTATTGCATACTAGTTAATTATAAAAAGGAACAAGGCCTACAGCTAAACATGGAAGAAGAAAGAAAAATGTTCAATGTAGGACTATTCATATACTATTTTGGTACTACTATTCACAAAAAGTAAGGTAGTGAGTGATGAGTCTCATGATCCATTCTTTTGTGAGTGTTAGCGTCAAAGTAGTATAGGAGTAGTAGTACTATTTTCACTACTTAAGAAGGAGAGGATTCATAACCTTAACAACAAACCCTTAACCTTAACAACCAACCCGTAACCTTAACAATCAACCCGTAACTTTAACAACCTCCCAATACAAACAACCAAAATAATAAAAAATAAAAATAATAAAATAATCCTCATCAATCATTTCAACTATCCTCTTGGTACATCATGATAAAGAGAGAGAGAAAACAAAAATAATAAAATAATCCCCATCATATTTTAATAAAAAAAGAAAGAGAGAGAGAGAGGATTCATAACCTTAACAACAAACCCTTAACCTTAACAACCAACCCGTAACCTTAACAATCAACCCGTAACTTTAACAACCTCCCAATACAAACAACCAAAATAATAAAAAACAAAAATAATAAAATAATCCTCATCAATCATTTCAACTATCCTCTTGGTACATCATGATAAAGAGAGAGAGAAAACAAAAATAATAAAATAATCCCCATCATATTTTAATAAAAAAAGAAAGAGAGAGAGAGAGGATTCATAACCTTAACAACAAACCCTTAACCTTAACAACCAACCCGTAACCTTAACAATCAAATCCACAACCTTAACAACAAATCCACAACCTTAACAACAAACCCTTAACCTTAACAACCAACCCGTAACCTTAACAATCAACCCGTAACTTTAACAACCTCCCAATACAAACAACCAAAATAATAAAAAACGAAAATAATAAAATAATCCTCATCAATCATTTCAACTATCCTCTTGGTACATCATGATAAAGAGAGAGAGAAAACAAAAATAATAAAATAATCCCCATCATATTTTAATAAAAAAAGAAAGAGAGAGAGAGGATTCACAACCTTAACAACAAACCCTTAACCTTAACAACCAACCCGTAACCTTAACAATCAACCCGTAACTTTAACAACCTCCCAATACAAACAACCAAAATAATAAAAAACGAAAATAATAAAATAATCCTCATCAATCATTTCAACTATCCTCTTGGTACATCATGATAAAGAGAGAGAGAAAAAAAAAATAAAATAATCCCCATCATATTTTAATAAAAAAAGAAAGAGAGAGAGAGGATTCACAACCTTAACAACAAACCCTTAACCTTAACAACCAACCCGTAACCTTAACAATCAAATCCACAACCTTAACAACAAATCCACAACCTTAACAACAAACCCTTAACCTTAACAACCAACCCGTAACCTTAACAATCAACCCGTAACTTTAACAACCTCCCAATACAAACAACCAAAATAATAAAAAACGAAAATAATAAAATAATCCTCATCAATCATCAACTATCCTCTTGGTACATCATGATAAAGAGAGAGAGAGAAAACAAAAATAATAAAATAATCCCCATCATATTTTAATAAAAAAAGAAAGAGAGAGAGAGAGAGGATTCATAACCTTAACAACAAACCCTTAACCTTAACAACCAACCCGTAACCTTAACAATCAACCCGTAACTTTAACAACCTCCCAATACAAACAACCAAAATAATAAAAAACGAAAATAATAAAATAATCATCATCAATCATTTCAACTATCCTCTTGGTACATCATAATAAAGAGAGAGAGAAAACAATCATAATAAAGAGAGAGAGAAAACAAAAATAATAAAATAATCCCCATCATATTTTAATAAAAAAAAGAAAGAGAGAGGAGAGAGGATTCATAACCTTAACAACAAACCCTTAACCTTAAAAACCAACCCGTAACCTTAACAATCAACCCGTAACTTTAACAACCTCCCAATACAAACAACCAAAATAATAAAAAACGAAAATAATAAAATAATCCTCATCAATCATTTCAACTATCCTCTTGGTACATCATGATAAAGAGAGAGAGAGAACAAAAATAATAAAATAATCCCCATCATATTTTAATAAAAAAAGAAAGAGAGAGAGAAGGGTATTATGGTCTTCACATGTTTTAATGTCTTGGGTTTTGTGTTTTGGGGGCTCAGAGAACAGATTCTTTATTTTTAGGGGTAAAACGCCCATTGACCAAGTCCTGGGGGTGGGAAGCATGTTCACTTGGCTTTTGGGGGCTGGAAGCATTTTTCCCTTATAAATATGAAATCATATGTTTCATATTTATTATTGTGTTTTATATATATATTGCATAGAATATGCAATTTTGTGAAAATATTATATTTCTAGTTTATAGACTTCATAACAATATTTTATATCTTGTAGCAAGTCTATATAATCAGTTTACAAAGTTTCAAAACTTGGTTTATGTCAAAACATCAAAAAAACTCATGTTCGCATGTTTTGGACATTTTTGTAAAATGATAAGTTTTCACAAATGGGGAATGCAATTTGGAAAATTCTTTTTGTAACATGTTCATAAACATGTTTATAATTATTTTCCAAAGTTTCATAATTTTTTGACTTTATTTGTTATTTTTAACATATTTTTAAAAGTCTCAAAAATCTGATTTCAAACTTGGAAAACTAAATATATCAGTTCATGGTCGACCGCGCGTGCCTCTACGGTCGACCGCACTTTATCCAGAGGCTGCGTTTTGATTTTTATCAAATCGCGATCGACCGCCCTTGGCTCTGCGGTCGACCGTCATTTTTTCAGAGAGCAAAAATATTCTTCAGATTTTCTCACGGTCGACCGGAGGTGGCTCGGCGGTCGACCGTGACTTTTCAGCCTGTTTACCAACGACTAATTTTTGCCCGCGGTCGACCGTCAGTGACTCTGCGGTCGATCGTCGATCAATAACGACTAGTTTTTTGTCTTTTTTCCAGCTGTGTTTTCTGAGGGCCTTTTGGTCTTTTTGCTTGGGTTTTGGCTGAAGTTTTGGGTTCCTATAAATACCCCATTGCTCTTATTTTTTAGTTTTACTAATGAAATGTTTTAAACAAGTTTAAAGAGTTTTTAACAAGGGTTTAAAGTTTATTTAGTGTTTGTTTAAAAATCTTTTAAGCATTTGAGAGTTTGTTTTGTGAAAACAATTTCATAAGGGCTTGAGGAAGATCATCCATCGGTGTTTGAGCACCCAACTCTTCTCCCTCTCTCTCTTGATCTATAGAGAAGTTTTTCTTAAACTTAATTCTAGCATTTTATATGTTTGATCTTAATTTCATAAGCTAGATTTTATGTTGAGTTTAAATTGTGTTTATTGAATCTCTTTGTTCACACACAACCATTGAGCTTATTATATTTACATTCATAGTATATTTGGGTTGTGGGATTATGACATTGAGTGTGAGTTTATATTGTGTTCTCATCCATATTAGAGAACAAATCATTTGTTGTGAGCCTTAATTGTGAAGAACACTTTGTAATACACTAGTACACCAAGAGGAGTGTGTGGTGAGAGACGGGGTCATCCCAAGAGGAGTGGGGTAGGTGGTAATGCCTAGAGAGAGGTAGTAATTCCTAACACTTGAGGGAGACACGGGCTAGAGACCAACACTTGAGGTGGTAGTTAGTGTAGTTACATTGTGAGTGTTGTAAAGTTTTCGGTTAGCTAGAAAACCAAGTGTGAGGTATAAACGTTTTCGGGTGAACGTTGAAAACCCGATGTGATAGTGGAATTCTCCCCGGGAGTGGGGATCGGAGACGTAGGACGGAAGGTCCGAACTCCGTGATCATTTCCTTGTGTTTGAGTTTGGCATTGACGCATTTATTCTTGCATATTGTTATATCGTCATTGTTGCATGTTTATATTGTTTACCCTTGTTTATATTGTATATCCTTGCACATATCTTATAGCATATCATACTTGCTAGGATATATTTGTTAATTAGTTTTTATTAGCATAAAATCATATTAGATTAGCATAAACCCTATTCCCTCTAGGGTTCTTTCCTAGTTGCTTTAGAGTCTAATAATTGGTATCAGAGCTTGGTACTCTTTGATTTAAGGTCTAATCACCTTGAATTAAAAATTCAAGTTATCTTTTTATGCTAATCTAGTTTTGATTGCATTTGCATATTGCTTGCATATTTTTATAATTATGGATATGTATGGTGCATCTTGTTTAGGCTATGATCCTAGTGTTGCTCCAAAATTTAATGTTTTCCCGTATGATCAATGGTGCTTTAGATTCAAAATATTTGTTCAATCTAAAAATATCGATTTGTGAGAAGTTATTGATTATGCTTATATTGTGTCCACGTTGGAGAAATCCAAGTGGAGCAAACATGATAAAAAAATGTTTACTATGAGCAAGCTTGTGTTAGAATTTTTATTAAATACATTTGATTCATCAATGTCTAACAAGCTTGATTCTTTTGATAGCGCTTATACATTGTGAAAATTCATAGAAGCGCATCAAGGGAACTTGGAGGCGATCCGATAAGTTTTGGAGGATTCCTCTTCAAGTTCTATTAGAGTATCACCATCATGCACACGGCCACTAGGCGATAGCCCTAGTGTGGT